TTTATAATTTAATACTATATAGATTTATTTTTATATATATTTTTAAATATCTATAAAAATAAAAATATTAAAAAATATAAATTACAGCTATATACTATAAATAAAAATTATAAATAGATAGAATAAAAAACTTGTTAAGATATTGGTATTTAAAAATATTACTATTTTATATAGAATACAGGGTCTACCGGGTCGCTTACCGGTTACATTAATTACATCTCAGCGCCACGTAGTATACTTCAAAGAGCGAAGGTTAAATCAAAAGAACGCGGAAAAGCTGCCATGAAGCCATGGCCAGTAGGGTCGCTAATAAATCAAAATATATATATATATACAATAGAAAAAATATCAACTAACCAGAGCCTGCTTTGGTTTCCAGTGAGAAACCAGGCAGACCGGTGTTCTCAGGTGTCCAGTACTATGTCTAAGTCGATGTGGAGGTGGAAAGATTGGCATGATATATCCACAGAACGGTTTCCCACGGAAGCTGGATTTTTGTGATCACATGAAGTCATCAAGGAAGTCAGGATCCCGATCTTGATTGCTGCTTCCCTGGATGTTCTCCTCACTCATCAGATCATCATAGGCATGCTCTTTCTGCCACTTCAACTGTTCCCTTTCTCTCATTTCTTGTTTTTCTCTTGCTCGCTGCTCGCCTCTGATCTTCCTCTCCTCTCTCTGCTTCTTTTTCAGAGATTCCTCTTTCTCTGCCATAAGATCAGGATATTTTTCCGCGCGGGTTTTATTGAGCCGGTTGACTATAATATTCTCCCTTTGTCGTACGAAAACTTTGCGCACCATCTTCGGATTGTGAAATGAGACTTGACCAGTAGCCATAGACCCATCTTTCATCAAGTTCGACCATGGTGTATAGATAATCGTGATGTTGTCTTTTTTATTCCCTAGTCCGTAAATTAGCTCATATGTATTGGTAGCAGCACAGTACATTAGTTATGAATGGAAAGATTATTCACCCTCGATAGAATTCGCCTTTGTAAGCTGTGCGCAGTCTTCTAGAAGGGGTTGTGGGATATTATCCCATGATTCACCGTCGCGGAGGCGAAGATAGACATGTGCACTGGACAGATTATCAACATGAAACTGATCACAAAGTTAGACGGCATTCAGGAGGATTTTGCTGTGTAGATATAATGATAGCGAACCCTGTACAGGCCATCAAGGCCAGCGACTGTCAGCACGCACTGCCACAGAGAAGGTTGAACAACGGTGACAATACCAAACATCCTTCTCTAATCCATATTTTATAAGATCCTCATCTAGTTTCAATTATTGTCAGGCTTGTGCCATATCCTTGAGCTTGGAATATGGCCGTCATACTCTCAAATTTGTCTTTCCCGACATAGATAAAAGCTGATGGCTCAACCACATTTGATGTGAAATAATATACCATATTGCCGCAATTATCTCTCCTGAGAAATCTTCAGTCAGATCACAATAAAAAAAATATTTAAAGCCAACCGTCAAATTGTGAACACCGGAGTGTGTATTGGGAAGTGGGGTGTAGATTTTCTTCTACTAGTTGATTTTGTGGGGATCTTCATTATGAATAGTTAACGTAATCGGTAAGCAACCCGGTAGTGTAAGTAACCCGGTAGTACTGTATTCTATATAAAATAGTATATTTTTAATATCAATATCTTAACAAGTTTATATTCTATCTATTTTATAATCTGATACAGTATTAGTATAGATATATTTTATATATATCTTAAGTATCGATAAAAATAAACTTCTAGAAATATAAAGTATAGCTATATTGTTACACCCGGGTATCTATCCAAGGACTCTGCGACCAGTTAGCTATCTTGGTTAGAGATAATTTACTTCGATAACTAGAATTTACTAGTAACTGACAGTAGAGTGGCATAACCTAACCGCTGTAATCTAGCTATAATCTAATCTAACCGGTCTCGATTAGATTAAGATATAAAATTCCTTAATTAATCTCTTAATTACAGTTAACTATAGACTAGAATAAATTAGATTATAGTAATTAAATT